ATCTGCTCGCATGTACGTAGAAGACGTATATGATTTCACACGTCGAATGATTCACAAGCAAAATGTTAACCCGCACACTGGTGCGAATCATGATCAAGCTCCAGTAAACTGTGGTTTTAGCCAAGGTGCCAATTCTCACATTGTGTGGGTGAGGATCAAGGAGTGAGGGGGTTGGGATAGAGGAGGAGGAGGAGGTGGAGGGAGTAAGTGAGTCATAGTATAAACTCCCAGGCCTTCTGCATAATCACTTCAGCTCACGCTTCGTCACAGCGAGCTGAATCACCAGACAGACACGTGGCCACGGATAGCCGAGCCAAAACATCTCCGCCTGGCTCTTCTTGCATTATCTTGCACTTCTCCGTCACACACAGACATCTGAGACGTTCGGCCATGTTTGTTAGATCCTTCCGTCTGGTGACTGCGGCTTTGACCCTTTGACTTTATCTAACTGATCCTTGGAGTAACAGTAATCTATGTTAATTCATGCGACTGGCTGTAGGTGGTAGACAACATGCTTGTCATTAGTGGTTCACAGTGGGGCATCAGGTCTGTGGAGAATCTGCTTAAATGGTGCTTTGGAGCTAAATGCTGAATGGTAAATGATCCTTCTCGTTCAGGGACCTGCTTCTCTCACCACAAAGCCATTTTAACGGAGATTTGTGAAACAACAGCGACAGCAGAATGAGCTAAACAGTGGCCTAGATTTGGTGTTAGTTAGGGTCAGCATCAGTTGACCGCCAAGGATATTGTTGATTGGTTCCGCGCTGCACACCACCCAGGTCTGTTGGGAGCTCGCTAGCAGTTCTGCTGTTTTGGCAATTACTGTTTGTAACACTGTCCTGGCCCAACAAAGCATTGCTGTTGAAACAGTATGCCCACCCTCTGGTGTCGTAAAGCCCAGTTCAGACCAAAGATTCCCGATGAGACAAGTTAAAACATGCAACTACCCACGACGAACTGTTCTGTAACGTTCTAAAAACCTGCCGCTTCACACCAATGCAACAAAAGGGAGATGGTGTATCATCTCTATGCAACAACTCTCTGTACTTCTGTTCTGATTTGCAGCTTTTCAGGCTTATTTTTTGGCTGAATATAATTTGTAGCTTCGTAAAATTTGAATGAGGATAGTGATAGTGAGATACTGGCTACAGCAACCCGCTGTCCGACACCAGCACTGTGAGGACAGAAACAGAGGGCTCGGCGGGGACGGAGCACCTGTTGCAGCAGGCGAACACACCGTCTGTGGTCATTGTGACGACCAGCGGACTTCACTACAAGCTGATCGGCTGTTGAAACAGGTGACATGCTTTACATTCTAAAACCAGCTGCCAGCGATTTCACCAACTGAGTTGCGGGTGACACCATCAGCCAGCTGGAGTCAAGGTCAGACCGGCCAGCTCACACCGCTGCAACTTTTCTCTGCAAACTTCTAAAATGGTTTCGTCCCATCTTGAATCTTGGGTCTGAACTGGCCTTAAGCCGCTCAGTTTTGAGCTGCAAACTCCATGTTATCAGTAGCCGTGTTTCTATCAGCCTGTTTAGATGCGCATCTAGAAGTATCGCATCGGAAAATTATGATGGAAATGCCAAAATTCAAAATAAAATCCCCTGATTCACACAAACTAAAATACGCTCGCTTTAGCCGAGTTTTGGTCGATTCGGAAAAATGTTGATTCGCAAAACGGGGGATGGAAACAGTTATGTTCGAATTAAGTCTGATGTAGTGCACCTCTCTCCATGGTGATATCCTCACTCCGGGTCAGGAAGGTGGTAATGCATTTACAAGCTGGTTGCCAACCGCCAGAAAACATAGAAGAAGATGAGACTTGTTTCCGGTTCTGCGGAAAACTCGCGCGAGTTCACACAGGATTCATATTTCTTTTAATGCGCATTTCCCAATGATTCGAATCCCTTTTGGATGGAAACATAGCTACTGTTAGCTCTGTTAGCACTGTTAGGCGTGTCATCACAGGTAGTGGTGCTAACATCATTAACAATGCTAGAGGGGGTTTGCAGCTCAAAATTAAGCTGTTTGCTCACCAGAGCGGCTGGGATCAAAGCCATCATGTTTTAGCCACCACGTGGACAGTGTTACACACAGTGATCGCTGAATGGAAAGTGGAGCTAGCTAGCTCCCTGCTGCCTTGGATGGGGCACAGTGCAGAGTGGCCAAGGCTAACGTGACAGAGGAGTGCAACAAAACATCCCATCACCAAGTGTTAATGGAGGCAGACTTTCGGACAAACAAGCACTCTCGGGCAATGAATCCCAACACACCTCAGGGTATTGTCAACAAAGTCCGGTTCAATGTGTAGCTACATATGGGGCGCAGAGCTACAGATGACAACCGCCAACTGAAGACTGATTTACTCATCAGCCTTCAGGACGAGAACAGTCAAAAATACACATTCAGTGAATAGGACTGGGTACTGAAATCAGTACTTTTTGGGGAACCGACTAGGCTTAGGTGGTATCATGGTATCATGGTATTACAGTATTCCAGGGTATTTAGAAATCCTGACAGTACGATTTTCAATACCACCAAAAATAAAGACGCTCAATTTGGTGAAAGAGAGAAACTTGAATTCGCAAAGTTTACGGTTGTATTCCTCTGTTTAATAAGGGAAACAGGTGTAAAATGCTAATTCTTTAAAAAATTTGCGAGCTTCTTTTGTGTATTTATTATACTGTAAAATCTGAGAGAGCTGGGGGAAACTAATACCACTAATGTCATATATCGTACACCCCAGAAAAATTAGATACTGCTCAAGCCTAGTACTGACTTAGCTACCCTGCTCTGCCTTCTGCCCAACAACACCTCTTAGCTCTTCTAAAATCACTGTAAACTAGGGGTGTAACGGTACACAAAAATCTCGGTTCGGTACGTACCTCGGTACACAAGTCACGGTTTGGTTTTTTTCGGTACAGTAATGAAAAAAACAGACAACTATTAAATATCTTTTACTTATTGGTAACCTTATTAAAACATACCACCACAGCAGTTAACTCTTTTTACACAATTTTTGAATGAAACAAATATATATAAAATCCTGCTTTTTCACATTGTTTGAATGAAAATAGAAATATAAAAGTGAAAAATAAAATCCTGCTGTTTTTTTAACACATTTTTTGAATGAAAAATATAAATATACATTTCTGCTTTAACACTTTTACTCAATTAAAATAAAAAGTATAGTGCAGCTGGTCAGCTTTAAAGCCTGCTCAGATTCAGTTTTACTAGGAACTTACTGAGCTTTCCCACTTTGTTAAAGTGCAGTAAACAAAACAGGCTTATATCTAAAGTGCAGCTTAATCAATTTTACTCAACTCCAGTGGCGTTGGTTATTTCTTTAGCGCGATGGTCAGGGAAACGCTCTTTCTTTTTAAACGATGACGATATTGTAGTTTGCACCAGATTGCTTTTTCTAGTCGTGCCGGTTAACGTTCAAACTTGGGTGGTGTCGCTTTAGATGCGTTAGCATGTTAGACGTGTTTCCAAGTACATACCCGACCGCTGTTCTGCAGTGTCGGCACACTGCTTTTGAATTGTCCACTTGTTTATTTCTATCTTCGTATTTTACCCTGAAACCAAAGTGTTCCCAAACGGAGGACTTAAGGTTTGCGGGTTCGTCAGGCTCACTTGCCATGTTGTCAAAATGCGAGAATGCGCTGCACAAAGTGAAAGCGGAGATTTACGGGACTCGTTCCGTCACTCAATTATGTCCGTCGCGGAACTAGATATTTTAAATGGTTCGGCTCGCAAAAACGGAATTAAAATAAAACAAAATAAAATAAAATAATATCCTGCACCCAATAATTCGGTACAGTGTCGTGCTGAACCGAAAGTCGCGTACCGAACGGTTCGACACAAATACATGTAGCGTTACGGCCCTACTGTAAACCGTAGCTTCTCATGGTTTGTTACTTCATTCTAACAAGACAAAGCAATTCTTGCTGCACGGTACAAGAACGTACCACTTCTGATCCCCCAAGTCACAGTCATACTGCCCCGAAATTAGCCTCTGCAAGTGCATCCAAGTCAAGTAAAAACCAGTAATACAGTGAACATTAAACTTGCGCACATCAAGCAAGAGAGTATTAATAGTTTTCTTTATTTAACCTCGTAGACATGAAACAACCCTCATCAAACAGGACCCTTCATGCCTCCTTCTCAACTCACTCCAAGTCCTCCAATCAGGTCAATATTATAAGACCCCCTTGGCCTACGGGCAGATATTCAAAAACTGATTCAGTCCAAAAAAAAGCACACACGTAGATGTTTGTACATTTCTATTTCCTGTGCAGCCATTATCTGGGAGTGTTTTTGTTGTATCAGTACAACGTATGTTTAATGAAGTACTCTAAACACCACTGTACCTTGCTGTCTCATTATAACACCTTTAGATGGTGTGTGCTCGGAGCTCTTTATGATCCAAGCATTCTTCACATGAACTGAGAATTAGTTGCTGACACCCTGCTGACTGCAGCTTTACCAACGAATTCAGGGGTCACAAGTCTCCTCATCGGCAACAAATCTCCTCAAATCTTTCCAGGAACAATCTGTGGCAGAGATCTCCCCCTGACTCCAGGGCTCTCCTGGATTTGTTAAACAAACAAACCTCTGATAGCAATCTCTGCACGTACATTGATGCCGATTTGCAATGCAAATGATGGTGATCAGTGGACACCGCGGGGAGAATGCTGCAATTCTCCGACAACAACAAAGGGAAGGCCCTCGCATCACGCTGCCTTATCCACAGCTAGATTTGTGCCAGCCTTTACTGATGGAAGCCTTATCTCTGCTGGCCTTCTGTCCGCTTAAAGGGATAGGGACCTCTGTGTGCTGCTCCGGGGCCCCCACAGGCACTGTGTAAGCCGCAGTGTAGATTTGGAGGCACTTAACAGTCAGTGCTGGAAAACTACAGCTCAGGAAGTTACAGGTCCCTTCAGCTGGAGGAAGGTAAGATAGAAAGAAACTAAAAAGGAAAGCAGCCGGTTACCTGGAATTCAATCCCATAGTTCTCCCTGCAGAAGTCTCGTAGTTTGGGGTAGACGTGCTCTTTCAGTGCGTTCCTCTCCGCCTCTGTGTCTGGAGACAAAAGAAAGAGGACAAACCAAATTTTTAAACTAACACGTACAAAGACACTAACATTAAGCACTCATGTAGGAGCTGAAACAATGTGTATAGTAAAATGAAATCCTTCTTTACATAGCCAGTTGAATTAAATGGAGAAAGTTGAAGAAACAGTTCAGCATTTTGAGAAATGTGCTTTTTCACTTTCTTTCCAAACATCAGATGGAAGGATCGATACCAGAGCAGATAATAGAGCCAGGGGACAGTGAGTCACATTCACACACTGGTGGCCAAGGCTACCATACATGGTGCCACCTGCTACTCAGTAACTATTCAAAAGCTCTCACACTCCAATGGAACAGCCATCAGGAGCAATTTGGAGTTCAGTATCTCGCCCAAGGATACTTCGACATACAGACTGGAGGAACCAGGGGATCGAACCACCGATCTTCCTATCAGAGGACGACCTGCTCTACCTCTGAAGGCAGATTTATACTTTTGTGTCAGACCTATGCTGAGCCTATGCACGTGGCCTACGCTCTGCAATTACACCTCCAAAACACTAGTCGGCGGTGGTGTTTCTGTGAAGTGCTGTAAAGTTTAGTTTATTAAAAACACACATTAAACACACATTAAACATGGCTTAATAGAGACAATTTCAAACACAAGTACACAAATCAGCTTCACTATAATTCGCAGCATTCACAGATAAACACTTGACTTTATCTGGACACATTTTCCCCACAATTACAACATGCTAATAATATTAGCACAAGCCTATGGCTTTTACACTGTACAAATTAGCCTAGCAGCTAGCAGACTTTTCCTCTTCTCATATGAAGCCAGGGACAACAGCAACATTTAACAAAGGTAACGTTACAAAATTCAGCTCCATTACAACTCACAAGGTTCACTGACAAAACAACTGTCTTATACTAAACACGTTTTCCAAACAAATATAACATGCTAGCGTTATTAGCACAAGCCTATGGCATTTTACATTGTATAAATTAGCCTAGCAGCTAGCAGACTTTTCCTCTTCTCATATGATGCCAGGGACAACAGGAACATTTAACAAAGGTAACGTTACAAAATTCAGCTCCATTACAACTCACAAGGTTCACTGACAAAACAACTGTCTTATACTTAACACGTTTACCAAACAAATACAACATGCTAATAATATTAGCACAAGCCTATGGCATTTTACATTGTATAAATTAGCCTAGCAGCTAGCGGACTTTTCCTCTTCTCATATGAAGCCAGGGACAACAGCAACATTTAACAAAAGTAATGTTACAAAATTCAGCTCCATTACAACTCACAAGGTTCACTGACAAAACAACTGTCTTATACTAAACATGTTTTCCAAACAAATTCAACATGCTAACGTTATTAGCACAAGCCTATGGCATTTTAGCAACAAGCAGAGATTTCCTCTGCTCATATGAAGCCAGGATAAATCACACACAAGACTTAAAATGCTATTTTTGTGGAGGCTTTATTGTCTTCACAATTTATTGTTTCTTATCTGTGAAATTAAAGTAAATACAAGCTTTGTTTCCTCTGAGGGAAATGGTTTCATCTTACAGAAATAGACAGTAGGTCTGCGTCACCGTGACGTATAGTTACATTTCTGGGGAGGTGTACGTCAGGCTACAGCGTAGGTACAGCGTAAGATCTACGTATTTTCATAAGCATTACGAAAACTTTTAGCTACTTTGAAAACAAGGCTCCTTATTATGACGACTGTGAAATAAATAAATATACAACTTTTTCTCATCTCTGTAAGACATCAACTCTGTCAGATCTACCCTCTGACATACATTATGTCAGAATCACTGGGAGCTTGGCCCATTACAAGGTTTGATAGTCGAGACTTTGACATTTTAAAATGCCTAACTGAAGAGGAAAAATCAACTCTCCCCCCAAAATAAGGTTTTGTCACATTTCTCAAGAGTGAGTGCTATAAAATGTCAGAAAATAGTTAAGTACGCCCATAACCACTTCCCAGAGCTGAAATTTATGTCTTCAAATTGCTTGAGCAACAGTTAAGTGTCATATCTAAGAAAGAACAGCGGCAAACTGTTGCATACAAGCAGCTGCAACCAGTAAATATCAGCCAAACATTTTCTGTACTAATCGACTAATCACTTCACCTCTAATATAATTCATGCTGATATTATTGTGTGCACCTTATCAATGTGTATGTATATTATTCTTTAATATGAAGCCTCTTTAATGTCCATAAAGACATGATTACCTGGAAGATCCAGAGCTGAGACACACTGTTGAAGAATGTGGGATTATGCAGCATTACAAAGGCAGTGATCATATTGGACAGTCGTAGTGTGACAGAGTGAGTGCCCTCGGCTTGTTGTTGTGTCCCATTTTCTTTCCTCCTGTCCTCTCATCTCCACTGTCTTCCAAATGGTTACTGTAATTTATTCGGACAGGCCCAGTCTCTTTCTCCCTCTCTGTCTCTGAGGGGTGTGGACGGATAGTTAAAAACAGAACATGCCCGAAAGAGAGGCCCCTGTGCGACCAAGAAGCCGGCTTCACACACAGAGAGCACACACACACAGTGGTGGTGGACGACGACGGCGGTGGCGGCGGCGCACAAACATCCCCTCAGCTGCTAACCGTGTCATACGCCGCGTGAGCGTAAGAGCCCGCAAATTTGGTCTGACGAATCTTTCTCATCTATCTTTAGCAAGGCTCTGGGCCGTGACCGTACATATATCCGCCCACAGCTACCTGAGCAAAATGTCAAATCAGAACCGAGCGCCTGTAATAGTATGCAAATGAAATAAATGGCAGTTGCTGCATCAGTGGAGCTCGTCGTCTAATTCCATCAGAGATACGTTCAAGTAAATATAGAATATCTCACAGGTGACATCGCCGTGGAAACAGCGGCGTTTATGGAATTTAGATTAAACCTGTTAGGGAAGTGCAGTGCGGCCCAAATCTGCATGTTGCCGCACTGTGTCTCGATGTGACCTGACAGACTAAACTGTTGTTGTTTGTATTGTGCTGATAACGGCAAGACGCCTCTCCCGCTCTCTTTTTCTCTCTCTGCTTCTTCTTTTTTTGTGGGATGGTGATGAGTTATGGCAGCCTGACGTATGTGTGTGTCTGTTGTGCACACACCCACATGCAAAGGGAACAAAGACTGGATGTTACATTCGCCCTCGTTCTCGCTGTGTGTGTCCCTCCCTCCAATTTTCCAATCTGTTTATTTCAATAGTGCCGACCAATCTGTCTTTGCTTTCAGATATGTCCTGTCAGCGCTCTCTTTTTTTTCCTCTTTTCTCTCTTCCTCCCTCGTCCTTTAGGGAACTCATGGGCGGTCAATTGAACACAGAAACACAGTCTCATGTTCCCGCTTCTTTTATACTCAATGCAAGGGCGGCTGCTGACAGTTCTTTTGAGTTTCCTTTGGTTGTTTAGTCTTTAATAGGTGAAAACAGTTGCAAATGGGCATTAGAATTTCCCAGAATCCAAGATGACATCTTCATGCTGCTTGTTTTGTCCAACCAACACAAAGATATTCAATTCACAGGGACATGAATCTTCAAATCTTTACATTTGAAGAACTGCAACCAGGGACCGATTTTCATTTTTGCCTCAGATGCTCTACGGATGCACCGATTCATCAGGCGAACATCTGTTACAGCAGATATTCACCCTGTCTGCTATCGGCAAATAAAACGACGTGGCAGTGGTCGATGTTTTTCTGCTCTATCTCACCCAGGCTCCGGCCTAAACTGGATTCTTTGGGTAATACTCCTTAAATCACAACCACTGAGATAAGCATAAATGTACCCAAATACATGCATACCCCAAAGTAGATAGGGAGACATATTCCTGCCTTCAGACATCGTTTTTCTCTCCAGGGATGACGAACTGCACACTGAGCAAGGGTTGCCTAGGTTATGAGGAAGTAGTGGGACTATGGCGACTAACTTTTAGCCCATCAGGATCAGTGTGGCTCAATGTAATGTTGCGACATGGCTCTACCCGCTGTACTCAAAGAGTCCAATAGGGGAGAATGAAAGTAACAATATTGTAACCCTGGTTCTATTAGCACAGGCAGAGCCCTCTACCTAGGGGCCCTGTTGCTCCTGCTGCTCGCATTCCTACATCAAGAGGTTGTAGGATGTCCATTCTCGGAACCCATCGGCTGTATTCGGCATCTGATTTCCAGCAGATGGCGCTACAGCCTCTGGGGGCAGACCCCTGATTTTTTGGCATTCCGGTTTGATTTGGGCGGAGGAGGCGAATTTCCGTTTCCGGCTTCCGTTTATATATAAGTAAATATGCTGAACCATTGCGATGGATTCAGAGTTTGCAGTGACTCCAATTATGTTCCGCTTCTTTTTTTCACCGCACGGATTTTTTAACCTGGCAACAACTGCAGCCGGCTCAAACGTGATTGGTCAATATCACGCGGACTACGAACAGCCTACAACTGGAAACCAGGGCTCTTCTGCTCTTCTTCCAGAGGCAAGATCTTCGGGGTTTGCCTACAGACTCTACATTCACTGAATGTAGAGACTATAGGATGTCTAACAGTGGGAATCTGCCTCCCTATATGGGCTCCGCATGTATTCAGGTCGGCACGTCCTGATTAGTTGACTACGTTTCCATTTTCTCAGTGTGCAAATGCATGCTCTTAATTAGAAAAGTATTACCCAAAGAGTCCAGTAGAGGGCTCCACCCATGCAAATAGTAGACTCACAAGTCAGTCTTTAGACGCTTTGCTTAACTAAAGACTGATGTCTTTTTCCCTGATTTTGTGTTTAGATGGGCGGATACAATTTCAGAGTTTAAAAAACTCCCTACGTTGCAGAACCAATAGTAAATCTGCAGGGCGGTCCTTCAGTGGCTCGCTGAACTCTTGTGCTCGTAAACATAGTCTGACTGCGTTAAAAGTTTTAAACAAAGTCACTGTAAGTCCATTTCCACAATCTTGTGGACTGAGCACACGTTTGATAAAACGGAGTTAAATCTCT